CGTCGTGGGTTAGCCACATTAGTTGCTCTACCTGCGACGGTCGAGTCACCGCTACGAGTAAGGGTAATCTTGAAATTAAGGCGTTTTATGGCGGTGATAAATGAATAAGTAGCAAAATAATGGCAAGGGAAAAAGACGGATAAATTAAACTGTTGCGGATAAGTGTAGACAACTGTGGAAACGACGTGAGAATAATAGGGTTAAAGCCCCTAGAAAGGATAAAAAGTATCAAACGACAAAAAAATATAATAGGTCGCGCATCTCATTAAATATATTTTTTATTGCAAAGGTTACTTAGATGGAATTTTAGTGTTGATTTTCATACCGCATAAACCCAAATCATTCTAATCAAGGTCAAAAGTATTCATTCCCGGCCGTCTGAAATAATCACACGGTAAAAAATTGACCACTTATAGTACCTGCCCTAACCCGTTAAATGTAAGGATATTTGCAAGCAAAATCCCTATTACTCAAAGGCAGGTACAGCAGTACAGTAACAGTCGTTCTTCAAAATAAGGTTTGTTGCGGTTTATCAAGTAATAGTACCTTCAAGTATGACTGCGTCATACTCGGGAAACAGCCATTGCTAAATGAGTGTAATAAAGCATGCCTACTGCTACGAAGTAAGTAGATAGTTATGCTAAAAATAACATGCAGTAAACTGCTGCCCATTATGCATAGCCAAATCACGTTTACAAATTCTGTTGATAAGTCTGATATTGCTTACTACATCAAAAGTGTTGACTGTCCCTACGACTATGCAGAGCAAACGGAAAGAAGGGCGTAATTTAAGTCGCTTTGACACAAACTAAGCATATAATTAGGTTAAATTCTGTGAGTAATAAATAGCACTGGACCAGTAGGAGATAATGCAGAGTGAGAGATAATATTTGATCACAAATCCATCAGCAGATGAATAAAACCTTCACTCATAATAACAAGTCCTAAGTAGTTAGACTCAGGGGCACCGACAGTTGGGCCGTCAATTCGGACTATGTCCACCGTGCGCACCACGGCAACACGATGACTTACGTGTCCTGATCTGACCCACATGTTGATCCAGCGCATTTACCACGCGGCCCGTCTAGGGGGGCAATTTCAGTGAAATTATTAACAAGAAAAACAAGCAGCTCAGAGCGACTAAGTTCCGCATTAATGTTTTTGGTCCTACTGCATCCTCCATAACGTTGAATAAATCCAACGGTTTCTGACGACGAACAAACCCCTTTGCCCGAATAGCAGTGCCTTTATCAGCACCTTTAACAGCATGCAGGAGTTAACAGAGCAAAGACCACACGTTAGGCAGCCCATTTTTACAGCGTTCGCCATTCAGAATTTCGGTCAAAATAACGGCTAAATCTCACTATCCTCCCACCCCTTTGCGTCATATGTTCAGTATCAGTAGCAGGTTACTAAGGGAAAGATAGGCAAATGCCTTCGAGCTCCCGTTTGGTAACAAGGTGGCTAAAAATGCATGGATAGAAGAGAAAAATGGGAAAATACCTCAATTATATGCTTGCAAGAGAAGAGCAAAAAGCTGGTGGAGTTGAAATAGTAATAAAATATGGCTACTCGCTTAGCGCGAGTAGTACGATACGCGTGTCTAACAATTATGCGGGACAAGTATGTGTAGAATTAGACAGCAAGAAGGAATTTTTTTAAATATCTTTGACATTTCTCATAAGGCAAGGGCAGACAAGTAAATGTCTGGGCCAGCAGGAGGACTCACGAAGCAATTTTGGGGCCGGCGATAGAAGTGGGCCGGCCTCTTCTGCGGAAAGCACGGGGCAAGACGGACTCCGAAAATTGCCTCCTGGCCACGGCTACGAGGCGAGAAACGGGTAGTAAAACGGATGATTTTGTCCGTTGGATCTTTGTGTTCTCGTTCTTCCGCCAGGCGGGAGAATTTCTCAGCAAGGTTAATCGACGTCCTACCGGCCACTGTATGAAGATCTCATTTAACTGGCGCAATCCCGCACGAAGCTGCACATTGAGACGGGCCTCGAGTTCAGCTTCTGCAGGCGGAAGTGTCCGTGGCTGCTCCTGGGGATCCCCGGCAGCAGTATCGGGTGCGTTTTCCAGATACAGGGATAGGGCAATTTTCGCAGTGTCCTTAATTTAAAAAAGTGCATTACTTGAAGCAGATCTTTAGAATACTTTAAGCTGTAAGAAAAGTGAAGGGATATGAGGGTGAATAGCAGCTTTTCGGCTTACTCGCGACTACTGTCTGCCAAAGGCGTTTCCGAGGCTTTCAAACAGGCTGGGAATGTGCTAGACAAGCGGAGGTTCTCCGTGTGAAACGAATGTGGACGAGACTCAAGAGAAGACCTACAATGACCTGATGTTGCGGCTAACAAACGGATGTCGCCTATAAATGATTTCAATATTTGCTATTTTAAAGGGAATACTTCCTCACTCAAATCAACGCTGAACTGCACGAAGGCGACGAATTCAGTCAGATTAATATTGCAACTAATTAGGCGAGCCTTAATGGAGTTTGAAAAAGAAAGCTTTTCTAAGGTATTTGGAAGCTTCGTTCGGCCGTACCTAAAATTCGCTATAGAGGCATGGAGACGCTGGATTGTCAAAGACTGTACCGTCTTAGAGAAGGTCCAGAGGAGAGCGAAATGGTCAAAGGTCTGCGAACGCTGCCCTACGAAAGAAAACTGGCAACGTCTCAACCCAGTCCCTCTTTCCTACAGGCAACTGCGAGGGGATCTCACACGAACCTTCCATATTATGAATTGCTTGGATTTTTGTTTCGTTCGCGATGATTTTTTTACTCAAGCTAACCCGCCTACTTTGCGCGGTCATCTCCTTAAACTACGTCCAGGCAAAACAAAGATCAATGGATGCAAATTCTTCTTCAGCAACAGAGTGGTTGCTACGTAGAATGCTCTTCCCGGAGAGGTTGTCCTCTCTACTTGTATGAACACATTTAAGAGTAGACTGCACATGCACCAAACACTGCACCAGCAGCAATCTGGCCCACGAGGGAGAGCACTATGCAGACTTATTATACTACTTGTTCCAAGCGAATAATACTATTATATTACTGAGAAGTAGAAGACGACTGGACG